GACAATTTAAGCTTATTTAAATTAAATAAAAATTATCAAGTCTTGATTTTAATTCTAATAAATAAAATGTAAAGTTTGAAAATATATATTTGTACAGATAAAAATTTAAATAATAATCAACGAATAAATCTTCAAGTGCATATACAAGTGTTCCCAAAACACACATTTGTTTTAGCGGTTATCTCATTAATCATATTAATTATACAACCTGTACATATATGTATATACAGGGTGTCCCGAAATTCGCGAATTACCTGTTTATGAAAGATTCCTAATGTTATTTAAAAACAATTTTTCTTAGACAAAAAATGTCGAGGCACCAATAATTTTCGAGTCATAAGTGATTAAAAATAAAGAATTTTTCGCAAACTAAGCCACCTTGTGAAAATAAAGTATTAACAAAATTACATTTTTTAATTAATCTCAAGTAGAGTTTACTTTAATAGAATTTTAATTTAAAGTTTAGTTAGTCTCGACATTTTCACCGAGGAAAAATCGTCTCCAAATAACCAGAGTCTTCTATTAACAGGTGATTCGCAAATTTCTGGTCACCCTGCATATATTATTACCTCATACATGAAAATAAAAAATAAAATATATATAATAATTCGAATAAAATCGAAAAGAACAAAAAATCACACAGATTCGAAGATAATCGAATAAAAAAAGAGTTCACATTACGGCTTCAAGATTGAACCTATGGAACCGTGCAAAGACTTAATAAAATCGAATGTAGGAAAGCGATATTAATGCGAATTAATTTTTTGCGCGAAAAATTAACGGGTGAGTCGAGGCAACGAGTCCATCACTGATACCATTGCGTCTCCTCCCTAGCCTGCTTTTGCCCCACCGTGGACGAGTTCCATTCCCACCACGAAAATCGTTCTCGTGGGGATCAGGCGCCGTCGTTCCAGGCAGTCGCGATATAAAGTTCACAGAGACAGCTGGTAAACGCGCATTTGTCAGGAATCGAAAACGAACTTCGCTTCCTAGTCGAGCTAAATTAATAACCCCGGCAGCGTCTGCGACGTCGACCGCGTAAAATAAAAAGAAACGTCACGGGACACGTGGTCCAATTTGCGCCTTTCCGCTGATCATTCTAATCCGCAACCACGAAGCTGCTCGAGGGCTCCGCTACTGAGTGCGAGGTTGGGAGGGCCATGAAGACATCCACGTTATTGTGCAGTGACTTGGTCAAGCAGGAGGTGAGCGAGTGATCGGAAAGTGGAAGGTTTTAGAGGGTAAAATGTATATATGTGTCTCTTTGTGTATGTCTGTAGTGTGACATCATTAATACTTGGATTGGAGGACGTTTAAAAGAAGTTTGGTAAGTTAGGAGCGAAAATAGAGGCGATATCGGTTAAGACAAAAAATAGATGTGTGAAAGGCTTTTGATGTCTTTTATGTGATTATATTTGTTATATATTAACGTATTAGATAACGTATACACGTCATCTGTCATTTTACACTCTTGTAAGATAGTCACGAGGAAAACATGCGAAAAATCTTGATAAATGTTGAAAAACGTGATAATTTTCTGAATTGTGTTTGGAGTATCAAAAGTTATGCTGAAAGGGCAAGGGTGTAAGATATTATGAATAGAGGGCATTCGAGGGAAGATCAGAAAAGGTTAGAAGCGAAACTCTCTTTCTCTTTCCCTACCTCTCTCTCTCTCTCTCTCTCTCTCTCTCGATGAGATTGTAAAAAAATTATTATTGTATTATTATTATTCATATGCCTTTATCACTTCAAGATTAATTGTCGCAAATATATAAAAACTATAAAATATCAGCGACAGATTAATAAAAAAGACAGAGAAATATATTGAGTGTTGTATATACATATATGTAATATTTCATATATATTTCTTCTAAATATTTAATAATTTTATGAAACACTTGTATATAGATAAATCTCTTTTGATAATCAACTATAATGTATTGTGTAAATATGATTTCTTTCTAAAGATATAGTTTTGTATACATTTACATCTAAAATAGACAGCACTTGAAAGAAAAAGAACCATAAAATTAGAAACAAAATTGAAAAGGTTTAAGATCTGAATTTCTTTGAAAATCTTAGAAAATTATGTAAACTACATTTGGAATGTATTGAAATAAGGCTAAAAATACCGAAGGAAGAAGTTTGACATATTAAGATTGGAGCTAAAGGTTAAAAAAAAGATTAGAGAGAAGGTTAAAATATGGAAGATACGAAAATAAATGAGGAAAATGATATATTTACACAGTTGTAAAAAAACAAAATAAATTTCTTGCCCATTTGTATGTAAATTAAGATTATATGATGCAAGAGGTAAAAGGCCAAAGACAAGGTTAGATGAATAAGAAAAAAGCCTAAACAGACGGTAAAAAGTAAAGAATTCAAAAATAATAAAATAAAAAATAAATTGGAAAAATAAAAATGCAATAATCAATGATCAATAATTTTCGCCAAAATAGAAGAAAAATTAAAATGTTGACAACAAAGTGAGAATAGAGGCAATTTTCAAGATGCTAAAAATTTGATGTTAGATAGTTTGAAACAAATGAGTGTATGTGCATTTGTGAGAATGATTAGCTTGATTTGAAGATTAATTTTTTTAATTTTAATTGTGAAATATTAGAACTGATATTGAAAATAAAATAAAAAATCAGGTTAGAAATTGAAAACAAATAGGAGAGGTAATGTGAAAAATAATAATTTGCGCAAAAGAAAACTAAAAAAATCAAATAATAAATCGAACAATAAGCGGTATCAATCATCATAATTTTATTCATTAAATTTTGATTAATTTTATTATTAAATATCCCTTCTCAAACATATTTTCTCTTCAAAGTTGGAAAATTTAAATTGAGTAATATCAGTTGAATTATTCTGTTATTCTATGTAAAAAAATGTATGTAACTCTAAAATTTGTCATTTTTATTTTTCACTAACAATCTATAAAGATAAAAATAATTCTTGAAAATTATAATCATATTAATAAAATTTTTAAGAGACAGGAGCTTATGACAATTATAATCATATATGTGTACCAGAGATATTACGAGAGAATTGATCTCGCTTAAGCAATATATAAACCATGTCTCTTTTAAATGTCAACGATGACGACGTCAACAATACGATAACGGAATCATTTGATCATATTCATTGAAAACCATGTCGGGCATTTATGATATATCCAAGTAAAAAAACAGGAGCAGGTGATTTTATGGCTCTTACTGCTATGAAATACAGTGGGCATACAAATAATATTTTTTTAATTTAAAAAAAAACGAAAATGATAATTTCATTGAACCCCTATATCATTTCATGAATTCGTATCAAAAAATTTGTTAAAATATTGTTAAAATATTTAATATACGTGTATAATAGTATCATTCATATTTGATAATTATATCAATGATTATTATTAATCGATGATAAGAAAATATATTTTTTGGAAATAGTTCTATTTATATGATATTCGGAACAATGAAAAACTGATCGATTATGATGTATTCACTATTTGTGTTTTCTTTCTTGATTGACAACAACAAATATAGTAATGCTTATTCTATATTCTATATTCTACATTATAAAAAATATTTTTAACAAATAATAATTAAATATAAATTGAATAATCAAAGAAAAGTATTTTTAGAGAAAAAATTAATTCTCTAATTTAATATGTAGTAAAGTTCCTCTATTTATACAAAAAAATCAAACATCCTGTATATGTAATTTTATAATTATTGATTCTGCTTATGTTCCGAATTTATAATACATTATATTCATCAACTGATAAAGTGACGTCTATTTTCCATATTTCAGAATAATAATGATCACCTGTGCGCGCAACAGGTATCCATAAAAAATCATCCATAAAAATTAAGAAATAAAATTATATTTAAAAAAAAACATTATTTTTAGACGAAATTTTCCGTCAGAATATCTCAAACACGTATGTCATATTGTATCAGACCTGTAATATATTTTTAGATTTTGCTTTCGTTAGAGAGAATTTCAATATAATGTAGGATTCATTGCAAATATGCTAGTTGTAAAAAAAAATTTGAATTCCCAATATATATTATGCCACGTGCATTCTCTATTATATGCATGTCCTTTGCATACCATATGCTTAATTCACTATGGTTGGTGATCTGCGTACGAGTATTGCACATTCAACTATGTTATTCATTCATGACAAATCCTATTGGCTAGCGGGCGGGTGTGTCAGTGACGTCACAGATCGATGTTTCATTCTTGGTAGGAGGAAGAGCGTAACAAATTGGCGGGAAATACGACATTTTCAATATCTTCTAATTGTTTTAAATATTTTGTTTATTCAATTAAATATATCTTTTACTTCTATTAAATAGATTTACAATGAAAATTTAAATGGGAATTTAAAAGAAATATTTAAATAAATAATTATTCTCTTCTTTTTCCAAATAATTCTCTAAATACTAAATACAAAAATTCAAGTATAGAAGAAATGGATTAATCATAAAATAAAATTATAAATAAATAAAAGTGTATTTATTTAAAAATTCTAGATTATATATATATATATATATATATATATATATATATATATGTATATATATAATTTAGAATATATATAATTTAGAATCTTTATTTAAAATGAATATATGAAAAGGATAAAAAAGAATCAATGCGTAATTTATAATATGGTTTTTATAGTTGAAGTCGATTCCGAAATAAATATTTATTAGTCCAAGAAATCCGGAAACGTCAAAATATTTGGTGAACCCGAAATATCCTATGGAATTAAATAGTTTCTCACTTGATGCCAGAAATTGATATAGGGAAAGGATTGATCGTCTCTCGCGTTAACAATTTCTCGATATTATATGCGCATATCAGTAGGAGCAAAAACGTTATGCAACGCTTCGCGGCCGCGTGCGCGCGAGGCGCGTGGTATCGAAGGACGACTCAAGGTCACCCAATAACACTGCCGCGCGGATCGATAACGTTCGTTCCTCTGTCCGCAGATACGAGATGCCTGCAAGGACCTCGTCCTGTCTGATGACCAGCTCCAGCTAGTCATGCAGAGGCTCACTGATGAAATAAACAGGGGTCTATCGAGGGAGACTCATGATGATGCAATTGTCAAGTGTTTCACCACTTACGTGCAGGATTTGCCAAATGGCACCGGTAAATAAAATAAAAATGTGCTTTTGTCACGATTACAAGTCGCATTACATTTTCCAACTTTTTTACAGCCACAAAAAAGGAAAATAAATAATATGAAATTAAGTAAAATGAAATTCTTACAAAGCAAATTAATTCATATTATTAAAACAAAGTAAGCAATTTCTCATGTAAAAATAAGTTGATATATATATATATATATATATATATATAGAAAATAAATTTCGCACATTTTAACTTTGTGCATTATAGCTCAAAGCTTCTTTTTCGAAGAAATTGAAAGTAAAAATTCATCAGGTACGCCTGCGATTGCATTTCACGTGGGATCATCACGGAGAAATCATTACAAATGTTTTTCTTTATAAATGTCTTAAAAATATTTGCACTTTTAGTAAGACGTTTATGCCGGATTAACGTTGAATGTTTATTTGTCTTAGAGAAAGGCAATTTCCTGGCACTGGATCTGGGTGGTACAAACTTCAGAGTACTGTTAATCACGCTAGATCGCCAGAATTTCGATATGAAAAGCAAGATCTATGCGATACCACAGAGCCTGATGCTGGGAACCGGTACCCAACTGTTCGATCACATCGCCCAATGTCTGGCATTATTTGTAAAGGATCTGAACATGCAGCATGAAGTACTGCCATTAGGCTTCACCTTCAGCTTTCCTCTGTCTCAGCACGGATTAACAAAGGGCAACTTGGTGAGATGGACCAAAGGTTTCAATTGCAGCGGCGTGATTGGTGAAGACGTTGTCGCCCTTCTCGAAGATGCGATTAACAGAAGAAACGTAAGTGCGGGATAAATTTATATCTTATAGTAATTTATTGTGAGATCAGAAGAAAAAAGAGCATCGAGCTTATACTGCTGGATTATTATAAATTATTTGCCCTTTTTGAGATGTTAGTTAAATATAAAATTTTTCTCTTTATAAAAGATGGCACAATCGAGAAGCAAAGTATTTAAAAATGGCAATTTAATTAATTTATATTTGAATATCAATATTAATCCTGAATTATTTTAATATTATAAAGAATATTTATATTATATGCAAATATGTATTAAAACTGACTGAATGAGAAAATTAAATGTATAATTCAATATTAATATATAATATCATTATAATAATATATATATCATATATAATCTCATTATTCAATATTTTTCATAGGATGTTAAAATTGACGTATGCGGAATTCTAAACGACACCACTGGTACCTTAATGTCATGTGCTTGGAAAAATAGAAATTGCAGAATCGGTTTAATTGTAGGTACGTACAATATATACAATATTTAATTTTGTATCGACGGTTTTGCATAATATAAATATTATCTTTGTCTCTCTCCTCTCCCTCTCTCTCTCTCTCTCTCGCAGCACTGATATACTAATATTAATTAATTAGATGAATGAGTTGTATCCTCTAGATAAATTGTATTTGCAAATCTAAATCTAATTGTCAGACCACATAGAAAAAGAAGAAGATCGTTCAACAATAAAGAATAAATTGACCTAATTTTCTTTCTCTCTTCATTTCTAAACATATGTACCAATAAATTGTTCTCGCATTCTCAGGTACTGGAAGCAATGCCTGCTACGTTGAAAAAACGAAGAATGTACAGTGTGCGATTCCAGGCAATTATGCCGAACACAAACCATATATGCTCATCAACACAGAATGGGGCGCATTCGGTGAAAATGACACGCTGGATTTTATAATAACTGAATTTGACCGTGCCATAGATGAAAACTCAATCAATCCATCGAAGCAGCTGTTCGAGAAGATGATCTCGGGAATGTATATGGGTGAGCTGGCGAGACTGGTTCTCGAAAAGCTGGTGAACGCCGGGCTTCTGTTCGGTGGCAAATTCCCAAGTGATCTCAGAAAGCGCGGCAAGTTTTTCACCAAATACGTCTCTGAGATTGAAAAGTAAGTACGAATTGGGTTTGGATATAAATTGAAGTTTTTTAGGCTTGTCATAATTATAATCAAACGGACTCGCTAACTTGTTAGCGATAAGTTCAGTGACATCGCTTAAAATAAATGCGTGTGATTAATTGACAGGGTTGGGTAAGTTAATGCTTTTCTTAAACTAAGTTAAGTTCAAGTTAGTTGCTTGTGAAATTAATTTAGTTAAGTTAAAAGTTGTATGAACAAAAATTAACTTGGTTCAAGTTAAGTTAAGTAATTACAATTGATGACAAATGAGCATAAAAACTAATAATACTTTCATTTAAAAATAATACTTTATTTATAACTTATAAAAAACAATAATGGTATTCAGAGATAAAATAATTTAACTTAGGAATAAAGTTAATAAGTTTAAAGTAAAAAATAACTAGTTGAAGTTAAAAATTAATACATTTTAATACATTTTAAATTAACTAAGCTAAGTTATAAGTTATTAACTTTTTAACTTTTTTCAACTTTTAACTCATTAACTAATTACTACCCAACCCTGTTAATTGAGAACTAAAAGGTGCAAAAAATCCGAAAGGTTGAAAATATAATATTTATAAATTTTTTTAGCGATCCTAAGGGAAGATATACAAACTGTCGGGAAATATTGGCCGAGTTGGGATTACGAAATGTGAGTGATCAGGATTGCGAGAACGTGAGATACGTTTGCTCGCTAGTGTCGAGGAGAGCGGCGCATCTGTCGAGTGCGGGAATAGCGGCATTATTAAATAAAATGGGCGAAGATAATGTCACGGTGGGCATCGACGGTTCGGTATATCGGTTTCATCCGCACTTCCACGATCTCATGACGGCGAAGATCAGCGAACTCCAGTCCTACAAGGTGAGGACAATGATGAAATCTGACGAGAGACGATATACGCGTTGATAACGATGGTAATCTAGAGAATTTTTATCGAGAAGAGTATAGGATATAAAATAAAAATGTTGTTATTCAGAAGAACCAGTCACAAGAATGCACACACTGAAAAAAAACTTAATTTGATGACTAAATTACTATTTTGTTAATTAAGCATATATTAGTATTTAAATTAAATATATACATATATATTTTAGATCTAATATGTTATATTTAATTTACATATTTTTATATGTTTAATTAACAAAAGAATATTTAGTTGAAAAGTTTAGTCAAGTTAATAAATTTATTTTTCAGTATAGTGAATACAATATTTGCGCTTGTGCGTGGCATCAAATTCTTTCGAAATAATGAGATAATTTGAGATAACGAAATATGTTCTATCATAATAATCTCTATTATAACATTTTATTTCCAATAATTTTCAGCGAAATTTTTTGTTGTTGTAGTTCGATCTAATGCTCTCAGAAGACGGCAGTGGTCGTGGTGCAGCTTTGGTCGCCGCAGTTGCATCACAGAAACGATGAAGACGCGGTTGTCGGTAGTGAGCTAGAATTCAATTATGTATAATATAAAACCGACACAACGTACGGTGGTACGAGTGAATGTGATGAGCGAGTGAATACGAGCGATAGCGTTGGAGAGAAATTAAACCTCTCTCTTCGTTTAGTTGCATTTTCTACACTGTGTCTTTTTTCTTTCTTTTAAAATTATTTTAGGATATTATTTTAAGGCTTCTCCAAAGTCTAAATAAATTGCTAGTCGAAAAAGGTTTGCGTAAAACATCAGGTATATAATTATATGGACTTTTTGAAGTAATACACACACGTGTGTGTATATATATACATATAAATACATACACACCTATCCTGTTTTGAGTGTAGAATATGATTAAAATCTTTTTTACACACACGTATATACTATATATACCTATTCTGTTTTGAGTGTAGAAAATGCAAGAAAATGCAGTTTTAGAGGGAATGAACAGAAAAATTGCGCGATGAATTCTTGTACATAGAGCACAAAAACTATAACTTAGCACATTAGAGTACCAAGTAAGTGAATACTTAATGTTCTTTCAAGAAACCAAGAAAAATCGAGGACATAGATATTCTGCGGCAGTCAAGTACAATATCCGCTAATTAGCGTGATTCGTTAATAATTCGTATGTCCAATCGTTGCCATAATTGGTTAATCATCTCGTGACTCTTCGAGAAGAAATTAGTAAAAAAATTAGATACACATATAAAAACAAATCGAAAAATCTATCAGATAAATTTTAACTGGCAAGAAAGAGTAATCATTGTTAATTGTTGATCAAATATCAACGAGTGCAATTTAATCGATGATATATTAAATTGATCACGTAACATCGTATCAATTGTGAAAAGCAAGGAATTGATAGAATCGAGAATAAACACAATTCTTTATCGATATTTAATTGAGTATTTTTTTTAGTTGATCCTTTCATTTCACTATACAGGATATCCCACAAACAAATTTCTTCATTACTGATTTTTGGGCGACTTTTTTTTTAATAAAAAGTATTTTTAGTGTAATTTTCGGATAATTAACGGTTAATAAAATATCGAGAATTAAAAAGTGCCACAAAAAAAAGAAATCATCAATTTATATTTTTTAATTAATTTTAAATGTTATAAAAAGAATTTTTATAATTACTTTTATAATTACTTTAATTTGAAATTAATTTTGAAACAAAATCACTTTAATAGAATCTTAATTTAAAGTAACTATAAAAATAACGATATTAAAAAATATAAATTATTATATTTTGTACTAGACTGAAATTTTAAGAATTCTAATTTTTTTGTTATACATGATGTATACAGTCATTCCATTATTCAATTATCAAATATAAAATTGTTACGATTATGCGTGAGATAAGGAAAAATCTTATTCGTTAATGGAATGTATTTTCTTATCATTATCGCGATAAAGTCTGACGAAACCAATGATAAAATGATACAATCTTAAAATTCCGTGAACTGCATTGGCGTGTTAATGTATCCATTTTCAACTATATATAACGTATCTTTCGGAATCTTACAATTAGAATTTCAAAGTTTCTCTCTTGCAAGTTACGCAAAAATTCTTCTGTTACTATGTTACGACGATTACAAGCACTCAAATTGGTGAGTATTTATAAAATTTCGTGAAATTTAAAGTTAAAATTGAAAATTAATGAAATATATAAATATAAGTCAAAGTGTGATACACACACTTCAATCAATCAACTTAGTTCTTAAATAATATTACTAGTAGCAAAGATTAGCAACACTTGTTATCAGTAAATTTACATTGAAAAAAAAAAAAAAGATTTTTAGAAGACATTTTAAAAATATTTGAGAAAGTAAAGAAGTAAAATAATTAATAAATTTTACGATCACACTGCGAAAGAATATGAGATATATGTATATCAGCAAAAGAAAAAAAAGACATAATTGAAATTGAGTAACTGCGTGCAAAATATATATATGTACATATATATTAACTTAAAGGATATGAAATATAAAATCGAACAGTGATAATTAAAAAAAATTCCTTACTGTCGTGTAATGCGTCACAGGAAATTATTCAACGAAAAAGTGCAAAAGAGAAATAATGCTCAAGAGAAAAGATAATGATTGAGAGAGAGAGAGAGAGAGAAAAACTGCGAAATTAATTGCACAAATGCGTGTATATTATCGACATTGTTCTTGAATTCGTGACTTTTTTACAAATAGCGCATTATTGTTGTTATCATGTACATGTTGATGCTGAAAATAAACAATTATAAGTGAAAAAAAAAATTTATTTCCATCAAGCTATTGCACAAAAAATGCACTTTAAAAGTTTCTATTTTTTTTACGATTTTTATATATAAAATAAGCTTTTTCGAATAATTGAATATTATTTAAAAAACTATAAATATCATTGATATAAAAATATTATTTGATATGCTAGAAGCAACCTTCTACACATTTTTTATTGATTTTAAATTTCAAAAATTGTTGCCAAACGCTTTTTATAACTGCAGTGTAATTTGATATTTTTTAATAATTATTCATTGTTTTTTTCAAAATTCTTTTGAACTATTTAATGTTACAGTTATTATTTGTATTACGTAAACGTTCTTAAAACGTAATTAAGTGCGTGAAGCTATTTACTCAACTGTTGCCAGATAATATATGTTAATAATAATGTTGCGTGATACGTTTGCGCATTCACAAGGACACATTATAATTAAGCAATTAATTATGTATGAGCAAAAAAATATTTTTTAAATATATTACAGAAAAATTATATAAAAAATGTAATTTATCGAATGTAAGCACACTGAGCATCATCAAATACATTTTATTGACGCACAACCGGATCGTGTTCTCTGAATTTATTTACGCGACACCGGGTATAATTCTTTACGCATGCACGTGAGCTTGGTGTCGCCACCTGGTGCACTTTTGACAGCATCTCGGGACACGTCAAAGTTGCGGCTGCTATCGGAAAATTTACTCCTCGCCACGCGATGTAGCGCATCGGAACTCGGAGAACTTGGCAAATTCGCGAATGAGAGCAAAAGGTGTACACGAGTGTATTCCGCGAATGAGTTAACATGATCAGCGGCATTCAAAGCGCCCTGAAGAATGCCATTGACGTGGTGAGTAGAGAGAGAGAGAGAGAGAGAACACAGTTGGTTACGACGACGTCGACGGCAAGGACGACGAGAACGTCTGCTATCGCGCAACTGCGTCTCGTCCTTGCCTTCCAAGATAAAAAATTCAGCGCTATAATTCCGAATTCACGGATAGGAAAAAATTCAACAATGCGTGATCGTAGAATAATGATTAAGAGAGTTTTCGCTTGGATAAATTTGCAATTTGTGCGAAAAATTATTGACATATGATATATTGACAGAAAAGTGTTTATCAATAAACAATGACATATGTGGTCTGATAATTAACTTTGTATACAAAATTTATTTAAATTCTTACACAGCTCATTCATCTGAATAGATGTTATATTCTTTAAAATAGAATTCTTCTACACAGCGATTATTCCCAGCATTATTATAAAAACCAATTTTCACACTCTTGGAGTATTTCATATAAAATATTCATATTATTCAAAGCATCAAATAACATGTTTTTAAAGATTCTTTCAATGTATCGTAATTGTGTCCTTAGAAAAACAAAATAATATAAAATTAAAAATGATGTAAATATCAGACAATATAAAAAATTTGATGTCATATTTTGTTTTGCTCTCAGACTCGTAAAGATTTTTTCCTCATATTAGAATGTAACAAATACTTTAGAAATTGTTAACAATATCAGTTACCACAATTTGGATTTACAAAGAAACTTAAAATGTTTCTATAGCATTGAGTGCTATTCATTAATATTCCTCTATAATAAAAATATCAAAGCTTATTTATGTCATATTCTGATGCAAATACCTACAAATTAATTTTTTATCATTATTTATAATTTTACAATTTTATTTAATAACATATATTTCATACAGATTTGTTTAATGCGAAGGTATCAATAATGATCGCACTACAATTGCAGTTGTTGATATATAAAGTGTTACGTTCTAATATAAATTTTAAAATCATTTTTTAATATCTTCTTGAAGTTAATAAGATCAATCTTAAAAGGGAATACTCTATGACTATACTCTACTTTGCTTTCTCGATTCAAAAATTTACAGCACTAAATTTTCAGATAGCCCCCCCAGCGACGCCACTGCAAGATTTTACATATCACTGGAAACAATTGATGAACTTTTATGTGAGCCATCTGACCGATTGTAAGGTTCCAGTGCAGAACACTAATATACCTCGACATTTGGATGTATTGCTAGAAATTTTATTACAAGAAGAGAAAGAGGTGAATGAACCGGGACCTTGCTTGGAGTATCTTTTACAACACAAACTCTTGGACCTCCTAGCGACCTTGGCTAGCGCGGAAACGCCGCCTGGTATGCGAACAGTTTGTCTTGCCTTCCTGAGGAAACTATTGGGCAGATCAAAATACCCTCTCTTACATCATGCATCTATCTACGCACCTATACAAAGACTTGTGGCACTCTGTAATGGAAACCCGCCATCGCCAATCGAGAGTGAAGAGGTATAATTAGCAGTAGAATTACTTCATTTCAATTTCTATTAAGTTACTCGAACTTTTTATGAAGAAAAGTTTACTCTCAATTAATCAACAAAACAAAGAGTCCAGTAATTAAGGTATTATGGTTTCATGTAGTTTATAATCTTTTAATACAATTATCGCTCGTATATTGAAAACATGATAAATATAAGGCCAACTTATCGAGCTGAATATTCGAGATGTTCAGTCAACTACCATTTATTACATGTATAAATTATAAAACTACAGTCATTATATTAAAACTAACGCAAATTACAATTATAAACGTTTCGACCGCACGCGGTCTTCTTCAGTATAATTATTGAAATATAATTCTTACAATTCACTAATATCGAAATTTAATTATAGTTATTCAGAATCAAGAGTTTTTGAGCAATTAACGCGTGTTTCATTCGGATTGAATTCACATAATATCGAAATTTAATTATAGTTATTCAGAATCAAGAGTTTTGAGCAATTAACGCGTGTTTCATTCGGATTGAAACACGCGTTAATTGCTCAAATACTCTTGATTCTGAAACTATAATTAAATTTCGATATTATGTGAATTGTAAGAATTTATATTTCAATAATTATACTGAAGAAGACCGCGTGCGGTCGAACGTTTATAGAATGATTGTAATTTGCGTTAGTTTTAATATAATGACTGTAGTTTTATAATTTATACATGTAATAAATGGTAGTTGACTGAACATCTCGAATTTCAGCTCGATAAGTTGGCCTTATATTTATCACTTTGTTTATAATCTTTTATACATAATCTGATGTCTTTTTAGTTCAATTCTTTACTATATAAATTAAGAAGTGGAGAGTTGTATGCAAAATTTTATATAGCACACAAATTTTTATGTAGCTCGCAAAGGAAACTGCAAAATACTTTAGATATAGTTAGCAGTAGAATCAATTCATTGCAATCTCTATTAAGTTACTAAAACTTTTTATGAAGAAAAGTTACTCCCAATTAATCAACAAAACAAAGAGTCCATAATTATTTAGGTATTATGGTTTCACTCAGTATTATCTTTTATACATAAGGTCTGTTCTTTTAAGCTGAATTGACTGCACTAGTTCAGAGTTTATCTTTTTTACTCCACATTGGAAGGAAAGAGATAAACTCTGAACTAGTGCAGCCAGTTCAGCCAAAAAGAACAGTCCTATATATAATCTGATGGTTTTTTAGTTCAATTCTTTACTATATAAATTAAGAGCGGTGCAGAGTTGTATACAAAATTTTATGTAGTACATAAATTTTTATGTAGCTCACATAGAAAACTTTGCAAAATATTTTTATATTATTTATGTTTATATAAATCTCATTATATATGCAAGAAGTTCACCAATCGTACAATTTCATGAAACAATTTATGTAAATTTTGAATTAAACATTATACAAAATAGAAATTTTTCATTTTATTTTAATTTATGTAATAATTTTTCTAAAGATTTATTTTTTCTATTATGATTTATTATATTCTTTTCTCTTTTTATATAATAAATATTTATTTACTAGTTAATTTTGTTAAAATTCGTTTATTATTTGTCTTTCTTTCTCATGATATATATACTTTATTATTTTTATATTTTATATTATATAAATATTTAAAATAGGTGGAAACCATTATAAGTAATGAAAATAATACAATATCCAGTGAATATATACACATCTAAACTGATAATCTAGACTTTAGACACCACGAACAGACCACAAATTTGCTTACAACTAATATGAAAAATTTGTACACAACTACTTACATATGTGAACTGCCGCAAGCATTCCGTTGGATCGCGTTTTAGCCTTGTCAGCTCCGGTTATCGGTGTAGTCCTCCTCCTCTTCTATCTCCACGAGAAGATTATCTTCGTTAATTGCACAGAGTACCGAACAATCTCGCACTACGCATATCACTATTTCCCGAATAATCTCGCACTACGCACTCGCGAAAATTCGAAAGTTTCAAGCACACGCGTTAATTGGCGCGAAGTTCGCCGTCTTCGGCTAATTTCACACTTTCCTTCCAGGCAGACTCGGATTTTCGTTAATCGTCGACGGAGCTAATTCGCGATTTCAAAATATATCACACGGCACTCGCGTTGTACACGTTGATCCGACTTTCCGGCCAGCGTCTCGCGGCGAGGAATAATCCAGTAAACGATTTGGAGTCGAAATCCACTAATTTTTACCCGCACACGCAACAATCACGAACTTAAGCACGCTACGTGCACGCACGACCGCCAGCGTGAAACGATATGCTTCGAATGCGCCTTCGGCTGGTCCCGCTTCCGCTCGGCTGCGCTCGGTTTCACGCCATTCGCCGAAACATCCCGCGACTTCGAATTGTCATTTCGCGCGCGAAATGTCATTCGCGCGTGTACATGTCGTTTTCTCACCCTTCACCGGCATCGCTGGCCTAGCACAGTCAGTCTGAAATCACAATTCGACGACTATCTTATTTACGAGGAAAATATCTTTTCGTAGATGGGAAAAATCGGAAATTACAAATGTCAAACGCGGAATGACGCTTCGACTAATTCCGTCTACCTTCGACTGTACTCGATATTGCGCCACCGTGATCCAGTTCAAAATATCTTGATTTATTTACGTATATATTACAAAGTCAGTGAAAGAATTTTGCCGCTCAAAGCAGAATTGTTATTGCAACATTTAATGCGACAGCAATTGAAATATTTTTTGCTGTCATATGCGATCACTTATTACAGCAAAGTTTATTGATAAAATAAAAATATCTTATTTTTTGAATAAATTTGTATATAAAAAGATGAGTTTGTGCTATTGAAGCAAAATAATTTATTCTTAATAAATTATATTACACGAGATACCCCTGTCGCATTAGTTTGATATTTGTTTAAAGTCGATTTTGAAGTCTAATTCATATTTTTTTTTACAGAAAAATTATACTTATTACTTAATTAAAAATAATAGTTCTCAATAGATTGTATATAATTCTAAAAGAAATTCGTTTTCGTTTCTAGGTACAATTTCTGCTCACAATCTGCTTCCTGGTGTGCAAATATCCTCATGTGACCAACATCATCAATGATGCGCCGATTGTGCAGACAGCCAGTAATTCCACCAAGAAGGATAACGAGAGGACAGAGATCCAGAAGGTGACATATGTCCCGACAAGAAGAAGAACTAATTCCAATCCTCTGTTCGAGCCCTTGGCTACCCAAGCAATCACGTTAATAAATCCGAATCTCTTCGACAAAGAACAGAGGAGATTACTGCGTTCAAATAGGGTTTTTAAGGCAACCGCGTCATCGCAGGGTTCGTCTAGAAGATCGAACGAATCTATCTCTTCGAGGGAGGAAAGTGTGTCATCGAGTCCTCTGGCTCAAAAATCTGTTTGCGATTCCCCTTCGATAGATACGAAAAGCAATGAACAGTGGAAAGAAAAGGGACAAGAAGATTCTTCAGAAAACAAAATCGATGAACATTTACAAAACTTGAGGGATTTGCGATTAAACAGCGGTTGCAATGTTTACGACGACGCTGGTTATATAGCGGCTGATAATCAAAGTTTGAAATCACCATATAAACAGGAAAAGTCCAAGTGTCTTCTATTAGACGCCCTAATGAGTTACTTAAATAGCGCGGTAAAAATATATACTATTGATCTTTTGATATAACGATTGATGTGTTAATTACAGCTAATTATACCATTATATCGTAAATACAATAATTGACCTTACCGATTCTTTGTTTTCAGGACAACACTGTGAGAATACGAGCGTGCGAGGGAATAATGGTCCTGGCTTCCTTGGATGATCCTTCATTCGCGCAAACGGTGGCTAGGAGCGAATTGGCGTCGATAGTGACAATTCGTTTAGAAAACTTGTTCAATGCTATCCCAGCACACGTAGATCACCTGGATATCTATAACGTGGATGTTACGTGGGGTCTGGACTCGCCGTTGTGGACCAAAGAGAAAAAATTCCCCGGTTGTCGGCAAGTTGCCGCATTCTTCATGTGGTTCGACTACTGCGATCAGTTAATCAGAGAGGCCCAGACAGAATTCGCCGAAAAGCTCGCAAGCATCATCAGAGTGATGTTTCTTGAGAGAATAGTGACGCCCGCCCTGGTTGATCACCATGTCGTACTTATTACAGCTTTAGTCACTAAATGCTTGAAAGAGATAACTTCCTCTATATTGTGTACAGGTATGCGCGGAATAATCTGAAAACACAAAATATGGAAATATAAAATGACAGTATAGTAGTGCGTAGGACAAATCTTAATTTTGAAAAATATTTTTAGAAGATAGCGCGATTTAGAACTATCTCTGAAGTTTTAATGATTTTTCAGAAGTGAGTTATTGGTTGGTCGGACAAGACAGAGATCCGGAAATTCCGAATGAATGGACGTCACCGGTATTACACAGATTGATAGAGAACTGCTTCACGGACAGTAATGATTTGACAGTGGAGACATTAAAATTATTCGAGGAGGCGATAGATAAAAGAAACGAGCATATACTGCATTGTCTCATGCTGAATTATCTATCTACACGAGCATATTATGATAACACCGCTGCGGATAGCGCTATCGCCTCGTGGAGCGATGAGGAAGACGAAAGAGAGAAGGAAAAGAAGGGATTTTTAGATCTCTCTTATGAGCAAAATCATAGTCGCACCTTGGCACCGAGTAATATCCATCGAGTTATCAATTGGTAAAAGTACAACTTATTAAAAGTGACATATTAATGTGTGCTCTTTTAAAGAATGAGCAAACAAGGAATATGAAGAGAGAACTATAAACGATTCAAATGCTACAGATTCGACTTTTATTTCAGTTTCCTGTCGCTGACGCCGCGTTACTTGCAAACAGATCCTGACGTTAACAATTACGAAAAATATATGCCAGCTTGGGAACGACAGTACTCTTCGGTATTTTCCGACTGCGCTCTGATGGCGTGGCCATTGGAGGCGGTAATGGTAGATGATTCCGCAAGTTCCGACTCGCGACCGGAAGCCGACCATTGCTCAGGTCGATTCTACATGGGACCATTCCTGAGCATGCTCTTTGATAAAGTCAGCAACATGCCAAGGCAGATATATGAAGTCAATTTGGAAGTTACAGTATTGATCTCTAGACTGGCGCTACTGCCGCATCCGTACCTGCACGAATTTTTGCTGAATCCATTGTTATCTCTGATACCCGGAACGAAGAGTCTGTTCTTATGTTTACAGAAAGTCGTCAAACAGCTTGTCAGCGAAATACCAAAAACTGCAGAGAGCAAGACAATGTTGCAAGAAACAAGGATGAGATTGCTGAGCGATTGCTCTCAAGATGAGGAGTAAGTCTAAACACTTGCATATGATCAATATTTCAAATATTTTCATAATTAATTCTCAAATTGAGAATTTGTTAAAATAAATTGCACTTTGAAAATAATTAAATATAAAGTTTTATTCGCTGATTTACTTATGAAGTTTAGTTATTGGAAAAAATTTTTTAACAATTAAATTCCAAAATATAATTATTTAACTACATTTAATTATAAAGTTGGAAAAGAAAAGGCATTTGAGTTTGTTTCTTGCACTAGTAATATAAATTAGTTTTTGAGCTCTGCATAAACTATTTCTTATGTGTTCTAATATTTGTATTTCAGAGAAAAGGAAAATATTTTATATGAAAGCGCCATAGTGACAGAAGAATTTTGCAAAGATCTTGCAGCCATAGCATATGTTAAATATCACCATTCTATTTAATATTTTTTTATATACAAAAACTTGTTAAATAGAATGCCATAATGCTATTAAATAAATTATAGATGTTAATATATATTGAAATAATTCCTTATATATTGTACTTTTAAGTAGCAAATCCTTTTTGTGATATTTTGTAAGATACACAAGTCTATAATTAAATATTGATGCAAATACATTTAATTAAACTTATTATTACAAAGAGTGATACCCTATGATTTTATTTCAATATACCTAATTTATAACTTTAAAATATTTATATTAATCTGTTAAAATATACAAATAAATATTCACTACAAAATTACTGAATACTATAAGTTTTTATGCTTTTTTAAAATCTCTATGTTTTTATTATATTTTTGCACAATCAAAAAAATATTGATCTCATATAAGTATTTTATAAAAAAATAATAATAAAGTATTTTATTTACTATAATGTAAATGTTTATTTTCTTGTTCCAAAAGTATATGTATATATATGCATTTTTAGTTACGCAAAACAACTAAGAAATTTAATTATAATTTAATTTCTTATATCAATCTGTGGATATATATATATATATATATATATATATATATATATATATGTATATATATACATATATAATCTGTATTTCATTTTAGCTGCAGAAAATTCAGCTAAATTAAGCAAAAATCTATTTTATTTGCATTTTAAAAAATATATATTTTTCTCTAATACGTTTATCTGTACTTATCTCTTAAACGTAAAAAGTATGACATGGGGATACAGTGTAAAAACGATTTACCAGGCTGTCACTTGCTGCCATTGCTATAATGATCAGCTGATTCAGCATTAGAATTCTCGATGGAAAGCTGGACGGAATTTAATATCAAATTTGTTATTGATAATATTGTTTCTTATTTGACTGGTGACGAACATAAAAATTCTTCAATAATCAAAATGAATGACGAAAATTTACTCGCAAATGGAGAGCTGTATTTTCTGTGTAACTTTAAAGCGTGGAGGAGTATTTCAACGTGCGCCAAGAATTGCACAAGTATTTTGCAACACTTCATACACATACACGATATGACGAGAGATAACATTGACGCAAATGTAACTGAGGAGGTAAATAAATATTTCGAATATTGAATGTTTGCACTAAAACTAACCTAATCTAACTGTACAAATATATAATAGTTACATTTTTTTGTACGTTGTAATTTAAAATATAATACATTTTATAATATATTTTCACGTTTGAAGAAAAGAAACAAAAAGCAAAAAATACACAACTAAAACGAATTTTGTCAAGTCTTTTTTTTATTGCATTACTGCACAGGAAATGTTGCATTCTGAAAGTTTATCGAACACCTTTACAACACAAGATCTGATAATCAAATATCATGTCTTTGTGGCTAAAAAAAATCTCTTGATTTTGCAGATCTTTAAACAGTTAATACTGAAAAGTAGCAACTGGCGAATAAGGATACAACAATGCATGCTGCAAAGAGAAAGAGTCTGCTTGTTCTTAAATCGAGAAGATATCATCGCAAATAGTATACAGATGGCTGTCGAATGTGGATTAGCATTTGGAAGGACTCAATCGATTGGTAAAACATTTAATTTGAAGTATCAATCTGATACACAATCGGATCTCACTTCTCACAGATTGCGTCTAATAAAAAATATTGCTGCCAAGGCATTAAGTTTACATGGATGCACATTGTCTGCTGAGGAAAATTGTGCTAACAAATATATATTCACCAGCAAATCAGAAGGATCAATTGACAAAGGATATGAAAAATACATCTGTGGTGTTGTAAAGAATTATGAAACAAATTCGAAAGAAATATGTCTCACATGGGAACAATATGTAAAATGCAAAATAAATCAATTGGCAGAATTGAGTGAACACAAGTTTATCGAGAGCGAAAGAAATAATACAGAGAAAAATTATTTTTCGCACAATTTGGCCAATGCTATTGTCATTTTTGAATTAATGGCTGTGAAACCAAGTCGATCAATTATTGTAGGAAATAATAATTTACAAAACAATAGAAGTATTACAAATACCAGAGGTATATATGTTTAACAATATCAGTAAATTATTTATTTTGAAAGAATTAAATGTTTAAATTAATTGAAATAAAAGATTTCTAAATTTTTTTATATCTTAAATTAATTCTGTATTTAAATTTCTGTGATAAAGTAACTAATTCTGTGACTTAGCAATAATTATTTTGAAACAGTATAATACTAGTTTATAATTCTATTTGATAAAATTTATAAATAGATTTACATGTATGACAGATAATAAATAAGAATTGTTGTACATTGTAAATTAAAAATTATGTAAATATTGCAGGTGCCTCATTTGTGTTGTACAACACTGCCAGAATAGCAACAATTATAAAGAAGTATAATGAAAGAGTGTCATGTGGATATTACCCCAGTTTGCCAAACATTAAAAATGTAGATTTCTCGCAATTGAATGAAGAAGTATGAAACGTTTCTCAATAGTTTACTTATTTTACAATTGTGCAATATTTAATAACTAACTTTAAAAATTTGTATTTGTATAATCTTATTGTTAGTTTGATACTTTTAAAGATTTTTTTATCAGATGAATAATTTATTAATTATCTAAACTTTGATAATTTATAAACAATTTGTCTTGTCTGCAGGATGAATGGGAGCTCGTATATAATTTTATCTTTGGATATCCGCAAATGATAAATGATTGTTTAAAGTGCGAGACTAATTTTTCTGTTTATCCACAAGTATTGTGTCTATTTTTATCACGATTATGCCAAAAATTCAGTATCTATTATCGAAGAATCAGAATTCTAATGGTAAGAAAAAAAACAAAGATTTAATAAATATTTACTTATTAAACTATATGCTTTATCTTCTTAGATATGCTAAATTTTACTATTTCATATTTTACATATTTTTACTTCAAATTACATTTTATCTATTGCAGGAAGGAGGTGATCATTTGATTTCTAAGATGTTTGCAAGATTATATATGTTGCATGCATTACAAGTTGTCCTTGAAAATATATTGAACATTTTGGGTATCACACCTGTATCGCGAATGTAAAATAATTTTACGAAAAGAAAGATTTACATAATGTTTATTTATGTATAAAAATTAAAATTTAATAAAATGATCATTTTTATAAAATGATAATAAAATGTGATTTAACAATTATTATATATATTTGTGAGACCAAATTCTTTTTTTTTTAAATATTGCTATAGGAAATTTTTTATTTAAGTTTTTATATTCTCTCATTATTTTAAATATTTTTATTCTTTCTCAAGAGTTTTCATTTTTTATTTTTCAAATGAATATTTAAAAATGTTTTGTTCAAATTATATTTTCAGCTTTTAAATCATTTTTATTTATATCTAATTTACAAAATTCTAAAATATATTTCTTAAATTTTATTCAATCATGTTATACGAAAAAATTGCAAGATAAAAATACAAAGTATTTGAATATTTTTCTCAGATCGACGATACCTAATTTTTTGATTTCCGAAAAATATAATTTCCTCGATCCGAATTTCCATACGAAAGACAGACCTCGGGTTCGTTCGGCGGCGTTCGGGTCCGTTCAGCTGCGCTCGTTAACGCTCGGAGTCCAGCGCGGAGGCCACTGGAGGAGGACGACAGCGGCGACGCTGGGCGGCCAGCTGTTTGTTTTGTTTTCGGGCATGAGATTCACGTGACAGCCGGCGGGTGTTGGTGGCGGCACGCGACGTTCGCCGCTCGGCTTGTTACGGCGCCCGCAATTGGCCGGCGCGGCGCGCTTCCCGCCGCGTCCGGCCAATCGCGGGCGCCGTAAGCGCGCGCGTCGCCGCGCGGAGCGCTGCTGCCGCCGAGGAGAGCGTTTGACATCGATAAATGCGTGCGAGTGCTCGCGAAGCGCGGAGGTGTCAGGCTGTCGCTCGCTCGCTCGTCCGCTCGTTCGTTCCGAATCGTTGATCCGTGCGAATCGCCGTCGTCCTCGTGTTAACCCGTCATCGTGTTTTCAATCGTCGCGCTGCATCGCGATAACGCCGTCGATTCTCCGCCGTCGTGTGGCCGTGTCGCTCGATCGCCTCTCCGCGTTCGGCATTGTTCGTTGTCCGATCAAGCCCACCTCCCCTCGCCCCCGCGTCACCGCCGCCGCCACCAAGCGCCCCTCCGCCCCCGTGGGAAACCTGCGAGAGAGAGAGAGAGCTAGCACTGGGCAGAGCTGATCGTCCGCACAACAAAGTGAACAGGCACCGTTGTCAGTCTTTTTCTCTTGTTTTCTTTTCTTCCTTTTCTCTCTGTCTATCGTTTATCTTCGCACCCTTTTTTTTATCACCGTGCCAAATGTCATCGGGCGGATGTTAGACGTATATATACGTACGTATGCGTACGTAAATATACGTAGGGGCGTGAATGTATATTTGTATACGTACATATGTGACGTGTGCGTGATGATGTGTGTATGTGTACGCTGAGTAGAAAGAGAGAGAGAGATACGCGACGAGGGGATCTCAGCTGGCGCATTCTAGTGGACGTTTCGGAGTAGAAAGTGCTGTTGCGCGGAGGCAGGTCGCCTGCCGCCTCTCTTTGTTTGTGAGTTATCAGCTGGCGCGTTGCTCGAGCCTCGTAATAATAATACGATACGCGCGTCGACGAATTTTCGAACTTGCGAGGATCCTCCGCGTTCGAAAATCGCGCGAAAGAAAAATTGTTTTGTTCCGAAAACCGTCTACAGAGTGTGTGTGTGTGTGTGTGTGTGTGTGTGTGTGTGTGTGTGTGTGTGTGTGTTCCTCCCCCTTCTCGCCGTCCCTGTTTTTCGCTTCCTATTGCATATATTCATCGTATTCAATCGTAATGACAGATGGCTTTTCGGTTAACTTTTAAAGTGGCAGATTTGTAAGCGAAGAAAAACCTTTGTTTCTCGCGTGCGATATTTTAACGTTGAAAGGATTCACGATCGATTTTTTTTTTCTTAACTTTTCGCGCGGAGCTAATATCAAATTTCAAATTTGTATCGAAGAGCGCGCTACAGATATTCAACGCGACGAGAAAGCGAGATATCTGGTAATGTATGTTAAAAATTATATTAATGCATTATACGTTTTAATAATTGAATAACTCGAGGAAACGCTATATTTTTAACACAAATAGAAAGTAGGCAAAATGTCTAAACACAACCAGATCAAAGTTCAAACTATCTATTCGGATAAAGAAAAATTTCCTTCTTTTTTTCCTTCCCTTTTCTTGACATTTTTTCTTTATATCTATCTATGCTTTGTTCTTTTTATTCTCTTTCATTTCAGTACAAATATGCACTTATTTCGATTTAAAAGAGACGAGAGTTTCTTATAAACATTTTTATAATTATCTCGCTTAATTTATTGTACTAAATATCTTTTTTTAAATAATTTATTTTTTGTTTGCGCATCTGTGTTCCGTTATATAATTTACAAAATTAATTACATTTTTTTCTTTAATTCTGTAATTTTTTAATTATTCATTCATTAACTCGAATGAAATTATTACGTGCGTAATTATTTTTATCGAAAATTTCTTTCTTTGATAATTAGAATAATAACATGACGTGTGCTATGTTAATCAGACATGGATATAGACGAATGAGATATCAATATACACATAACTTTGCTTATATTACGACCATAGAAATTTTTTCAATGTTAGAAATGATACATACGTGTTTATTTTGTCCGTTGTATTTAATTTTTAAAACTCATGAATTATAGTTATCGCGATTTTATCCTCGAAACCTGATATCAAACAATTTTGCGAGGAATATGTTTACGAAATTCCAGTGTTTTTTTTATTCTTTTAGAGATACAATAACAAGGATAAAGACAAAAATAAATATTATCGTATAATTAAACACGTTGACAAAGATTGTTGGATATTAAAAAGGCAAATTTTTTTTCATATAACAAAAACACTAATAAAGATAGGTTAACAGAGAGAATTAACATGCTTTTAATGATGTTTTATTTGTAAAACAGCTCTATCCTATATTTCTAACAAGTCTATTAAATTATATATTTTAAATGTAAATATTTATATATTATACGATAATACATATATATATATATATATATATATATATTAAAAAATATGTAATTGATTTTTCTCGCTCTTGTATATCACGCTCGTAATTTTGATCATCCAAAGTCACTGAAAAACGTAAATAAATATGCAATAAAAGGATCAAATTTTTTTGTTTTCCGTATGTTTGTAACTCGCAGGAAATTTCATTTCGAAGCGTATATAATAAATTTTGCTTTATCACTCTTGCTATATTTATTCGTCTATTTCCATCTCTCTCGCTCTCGCTCTGTTTCCGTTTTACTCGCTGTTTATTTTTCTCGCGTTACGCGACCGCGCGTAGGCGTATTCTCTCTTTCATTCCCTCCCCTTTCTTCTTCTTCCGTCTTCTCTCGCTCTTTCACTCTTCGTGCGACGCTTCGTTCTGCGTGTGTCTGTGTGTGTATATCACGTTATATATGTGTGTATGCGCTGCTCGCGATCAGTTTCTCTCGGCGACGTTCGAAGCGTAGTTACTTCACTTTATTTATGGGAGCATTGTATTGTTGTCATTTGGCCGGAAGTGTCAAGCACGGTCAACGGTGATGATAATCCGGTTTTCTCTTGTGTGATCTAGTGTAATCGCGGTAAATGTGGTGACACACGGCGTGGAAGGAGAGGGCAAGAAGAAACCGAAGGATAAAACACGAATTGGGAAACAACGCTTCCGATTAGTTTGGTGATCTGACGGTGTTTCACACGGACGATAAAAACAAACAAAAATAAAAGAACATTCCAACGAAGAAACGGAATTTCAAATGTTGCGTGCAAACGTTTAGTGATCGACACCCATTCGACATTGTCAACATAAAGAAGAGAGAGAGAGAAGAGAGAAATTTGAAGGGAGAGAGAACAACTGCGAAAAAAGGGACGCGAATGAAAATATCTTGATTTTGAGCCGAGGCTCCTCCAGAGGCACAGCGCTTCTCCGTGTATATTCACATCCATCCTCACGCTTCTCGCTTGCGTGCGCGTCGTCATCGTCGTCTCACGCGTCTCTCGCCGCTCGTGCGCGCAGTTACGCGTCCGAGAGTAGCCGAGGTTACGCGAGCTCGCCCGAGGTGGCGCGGCACGGCGGCCGAAGACATCACGATTACGTATCCCGCGGCCCTCCCCCTTCATTCTCGCCCAGGCGCCCGTCGTACGCGCACGTGCGCGCGCGCGCGTGTGTGTGTGTGTCTGTGTGTGTGAGTGCGCCTGCCTGCGTGCGCCGCCGCCACCGCGTGTGTGTGTTGCGTTGAAACGTCGCGTGTGTCCGGAGCGTGTTGTGTGAGGCGGGAGGAGGAGGAGAAGAAGAAAGAGCGAGCGTGAACGGAAGCCGCCAGGATTACGCCAAACCGAGGAAATATGAGCATTGCTGCCCTACTGCAGGCCGCCGAGTACATTGAACGAAGGGAAAGAGGTGAGTGGTCCTTCCTTGCTTTCTTCTGTCAAATGTACACGTCATTTTCACTTCACGCGGGATATCAAATAATAGCACGTGTCAAAAATTGTTCAACGTAATATTAAGTGTTTTATTCGATATAATATTAACTTGATGTAATATTAAGGGTGTACTGTGCATAATTATTCAAATTAATGCTTAAACACCATTTTGACACGTGCTATTATGCTCAAAGCATAAAGTGCCTATTCCTAGATGTCAACACCTGGATAAATATTCAGCGCAATATATAAGAGTTTGAAGAAAAAACAAGCTGTGCAATGTCGTAATTAAATATGTCGTTTTTTTTTTTTTTTTAATTAAATCGCGTACGTATAAAAAAATTATTCCACACGCGATCAATCGCAACTCAATTTTATCGTGATTTGTTTTTAATCCTCTTATAGAATAATGCATTTTTTTGTAATAGGTTAATATTCCAATATATTTTTTATTATTTGACATTGCTATTTATATAATGTTAATTGATCTAATTCACACATATTGATAGGAAAATCTCGCATGAAATCGTCGCTTTTTAATTAATTTTGATGCGTATACATCTGTTCGAAATGTTTATCGTAGAACCATGAATCGAATCGCTGAATGAGAATTTTCATGATTAATCTGGGATCTCTGAAATATATATGCGAGACTATATAATTCGAGTCTTGGAAATGAATTCTTGATGCAACCGACACTTCTGCTTGGAATGTGTCCCTTTAACGAGAAATTTATCCGATTTAAAAATACGCTTCATCTCGCCACACCGCTATCTTTGTTTTCGTAGTGCGATCGTACGCAGCGCGCGATGATCTCATTTTATCACTCCACTTATAATGCTGCTGCGTCGCACTTGGAGCCGCGTGCATGCGAGGACGCACGTCGTTTTCCGCGCGCGTGCGCACGCGCGTTTCCTCGTGCGTAGTACGACGTTAGATTTCCGAAAGAGCGATCGGTGTGTTGTCTCGTCTGCATATGAATTTCGAATACGAGTTTTCATTTTACGTAACACACCTCTTCCAAAATCAACATTTTTTGTGAGACAATCGAATATTACACTTTGACAAAGTCTCAGCGCGCTTTTATAATAAAATATGTGTTGACGATTTTTTAATTATAAATTCGAAAAATCAGACGCAATATTCTAAAGACAATAATTGTCTAGAAACATTTATTTATTTCGTAAACAAACTTATAAAATGTAATAAACGCAAATTCTTGCAAATTTCAATTGATTAAAAAGAGCTACGAATATGGGAGTTTAATAATTGAAACTTTGATGAATCTGAAGTGAATCCGAAAAAGTACGAGCTCCCCCTCCCCCCCGAAGTTTTGTCTCAATTTATATATAGGGTATATATATATATATATATATATGTATACACCCGTGACCTTTTTATTTATGGAAATTTATTCTAAAGTCTCTATCTATTTTTATCTGATTTCAAGTGTCTGTCCGTATCTTAATTTAAAGCCGGGCTCTATTTATACAAATATATTCCGCATCTACTTCAACGTGAATTTTGATGCATTTGTTTATTCCAATTTAACTCGATATCTCTTTGTAAAAATGTAAACATCGCATTTGACATTTGAGCAATATGGACCTAACTCGACGACACACTTATTGAATTGAAATAGTTGATCGTTTGTTTGCTTGGAAAAATCACAAAACGAGGCACGATCGTACTTGGATCGAACGTGACTCTCCTGAAACGGTCTAAGAAAATAAAACGTGACTTAATATCGGTGCGTCCGCGTCTTCGCTCGTTCCATAACGAGCTTAACAAGCTTCGAAAGTTCGAACTCTCTCATGAGAGTCACGTCGTAGTTTTTCTTCCATATTGAAATAACTGCATTGTTTTGGACAATACGAAAATGTCGTCAAGATTAAAATCGTATATATATGATATTGAACATTTTGAAATTGAAGAAGATGACATTCCTGTTAGCGCGAGATAGATATTCGGCACGCAAATAATTTTGATTACGTAAAGCTTAGGCTGTTAATTTTAGAATACCGCCTATAATAATTGTATGTAATTTTACATTCTACTTATCGATTTATCGCTTTGTAATTACAGAAGCTGAACATGGCTATGCTTCAACGATGCCAATACCCGATGATATGCGCACGGTTACAAAGAGGCCAAAGACAAAGAAGTCCCAAGGCAGCAGGTTTGTTTGCACAGATATCTTTTGAGAAATGGCATTTAGAATTTGTTCCAATTTTTCAAGTTCAAATTAGCTTTTTAATTTTTTTATTTAATATATATATTTAGTTTTGCAACGTTAATATTTAAAAAATTTTTTTCTCACATATTGGAAATTTATTCTAATAATAATAATAATAATATAATTTTTTAAATATGTTTTTTATATTTATATTTTGCATTGCTTCTTTTGATGTCACATCTAACTTTTAATACTTCCGAGAATGTTATACAAATTTTTCAATTTCTTATATTTTCACAAATTTATGATAACTCGAAAAATTGTGAGCTTTTCGCAAATAGAGAAAATAAAGCCTGTAGTTGTGCAAAAGAATTACATCATTTTAACATGATATATTATACTCGATCAAGAGATATATTTATTCTATAAAAGCTTCTATAAATTCGTGACTATTTGGAATTATGAACGTATGTAACAATTCAAAATATTGCTAGTTGACAACGAATCGTTTGATTTGTAATAAAGTGCAATTACTATTGTTACAAATAATACTGTTATTGCAATTTTAAATTATTTATAGCTACATTTGCAATATGCTTTATTCAATAAATATCCGCATTTTTCAATTTTATATCATGTTTGTATCAATGGTTTCGATATGATTATAATCGTTGTTGTTCAATTCTTATCACAAAAAAAAGAATGTTTTTGTTGTCATTCAAAGATCTAATAAGCGTTTCTTTTTTTGCTTACAGGACGACTCATAATGAATTGGAGAAAAATAGGTGAGTGTTTTACAACCAATAAATTAATAAGTGTTTTATTAATCAGCTAGTTACTTATAACTTTTATGAGTTATAATGTGCTTTTTTTAACTAGTATTGTACTCGCATACCTATATTAGTACATTATGAAGGAAGGTTAAAATTTTTGTCAATGATTGAAAAGGAAATTTTTTTAAAATAAATATTTCATTATCAATGAATCGATAAATCAATTGATAACATATTAACCGTAAAGTGTATTTGTAAATAGTTTTTTTCTGGGACACTATAAATAAATATAAATATTTCTCAGAATAAGTATAACAAATATTAATAATTGATAAAAGAAATATCGAAGAAAATACAACAAATTTGTTGTATAAATTTTTACAGCATACATATATTTATAAATTTACAATTTATGAAAACAAACTTGTTATGCATAAATCGATATCAAAATGTATCGAAGATAAATCATAATAAGATTACATATTATCAGACAAAAATAATTTGGTCTAATTGGAGGAGAATATTGGAATAAAATCAGAATTTGTTAAATAGTTAACATACAATAATATCGTAACATTTTTAAATTAATTTTTTTCGAAAATAAAAAATATTCTAGTACACTGAAAAAAAATTTGTTAACTTGACTAAACTTTTCAACTAAATTATTATTTTATTAAATCAACATATATTAGAATTTAAGTCAAATATACGTTTTGTTAAATTTAATATATATATATAATTTAAATATTTTTATAGGTTCAATTAACAAAATAATATTTAGTTGAAAGATTTAGTCAAGTTTAACCATTTTTTTCAGTGTAGAGATTAATATACATACCTACATCTTGCATTTGAGGGAAGTAAAGTAGGGAGGAGGGAGAAGAATAATTACAGGAGATTGGATTTTCAGCATCGCGTAATAATTCGGAGCTAAAAATGTGAAAAAAAGGTGTAAGCTGCGTTATGTAACACAAATACGAGATATAACAGAGCAAGCGGGTTTTCATATCGGCCGTTTCTGTGTCACGCTACCCCTTGTGTAACTTCTTCTGCTCCCCTTATTCCTCTCCCCATCACGACCACTATTCGCACATGGACTGCTTGGGTATAAAAAAAAATCGATAGTCCGCCTGCGACCATCTCTCTTTCTCCCTCATTCTCTAGCACCCCTTCTATCTCTCTGTTTCTTTTTTATGCATCGCTGACTAGTGAGAATTTTGACCTTTTCTTTCTCCGAATATTTATAGTCTATTTTTTTTTCAAAACAATTTGAAAAATATTCAAGATGTGGATAACGTGCAAGTGCGATATGAATGTTTAGATATTGTCAATTGCGTATATTAACTTTTGCGTACTAATATTTATTTTGCTTAATATCATAATGTAATTATTTCTGTATGAAAATTTTATTTGCTATTTACAATGTTATATTCGATTTTAAAATGATAAATGTTGATAAACATTATACGGAATTATTTTTAATATTTTCACAAACTAGTAAAATTAAAAAATTTGAAGGTATTTGGAGATAAAAAAGCTAAGATTTACTTTTATAAAAGAAATCGTTACATACAATACTAAATGGTTTATTTTTTTTTTAAAGCGTTATATAATACTGCCATTTTTTTTTAACATTTAACATTTTATGTTATACAATAATTTAATACTTAAAAATAATAGAAGGAAAATTTGTTTGAAGACAAATGAACATTTTTGAATATTTTTGAAAAATTGTTTACAATTATTTGTTTTTGTTTCTTTTTTAAAAAGCTAAATTTTCTAATTAATGTTGTTTGCGTGTCTATACTAATGATAGCTGGTGTAAATAATGCGTAGGCACGCATTACGCGCGACAAATGTAGAAAACATAGAAGCCGATGACACACTGTCCTAAATTTGGCACGTGTTTGTGCAGCGGAAATAAATTTACGGCGAATTTTATTAACATATGCTCGCGCGAAGTTTAGATCCATATCACATCATATCGTACATAAAAAATTACAATTAAAATTGAATTACGATTGATGACTGTTCCATGAATACTATAGCAATTGCCTATCTGGTGTTGCATTTTGTGCTCTCTACTTGTATTTTTACATTTCGTTTACAGTGGCTTTATTAGAGTTTAAAAATCCTACATATAATATTCAAATAATTTATTTTTGTTCAACGTTTACCTCGTCTCGTGATCCCGTTGCTCTCAATTAAAAATTGATGATTTGGAGAAACACAATATAAAATTACACGCCACATATATAAAATATATACACAAAAAAATATAGAGAAATGAAAAGGTTTAGAGTTCAAAAGGATTAAAATAATAATTGCATAAACTTATCGAATTTGAATTATGTTTATTACGTTATGAAATTTTATTAATTTTATTTGATATTAATTTTTTTTATATTTCAAAAAAGATGGAATATTTTATTATTTCGATTAACGAACAGATATAATAACAAGTTATTCGATCGCGTGTTATTTGTGTGAACCATTATGCAAAATCGTGAGGTTTTCTCGAATATAGGGAGAAGATATCACAGGTCAGCCGGAAAACGAAAGCTCAACAAACGGCTACGCTAGCGAGTGAAAATGGCGTTTGCGAACGGCGCCTGAGGACAGATTCCTGGCCCATTTGAAATGCATTGAATTTTTAAGTGCCATCCTTTGTGCCGCCACTGTGAGATAGCTAACTTCCGATTCGGCTCCTCACTATTTCGCCTTCCGTTGGTTTTTCATCATTTTGAACTCGAATCTCTCCCCGCTGCTTTTAAATTTTACCCTTCAATGATTTTAATTTTAATTAGTCTGCTTAATTTATCAATATGTAATAATTTAAATTAATAATTTCTTACATTTAATAACGTGATAACAAATACAAATTTGATAAGTTTATGAATAATTTTGAAAGACTACAAAACAATTAATAAAATTACTAATAAGAAATTATAGGACATCACAATTTTATCGACTATTATTAATATAATTATTATATTGTTTTATCTCAGATTATTCCTATAATAGCATTTCCACTCTTTTAAAATATCTTGATCACAATACCAATAAGAAATGTTTGATTAAAAACGAAAACAAACAAAAATGATAGAATTATATAAAATCTGAAAATAGACGGTTAAATAAACCTACATTATTCTTCATGTAATGGGATATTACGGAATGAGACGTTAATTAAAAAATCCGATGCATAAATAGACGGATCGATTGTTTAAAGAAATTCTGTCATATCAACTTCTTAAATTGAAGAGCAAAGGTTGACTCGATAAACGTTGTTTATTTGCAATATCTTCGCGTTCAAAGAATTAAAAAAAGATCGATTAAAAAAAATTTAATTAATGAATCTACGAGTATTAATTAATTTTCAAGTCATAAACAGATAAAAGTTGTCTCGTGTTTTCGGGACAAAAAATGTTAGGAATTTAAGCTACACTTACACAGTTGAAAAATTTCTGTTAAATTTAACAAATATCACAGGTCTCAAACGGTCCACAAAAATTTTGTGTTAATTTAACATAATATGGATATGTTAAATGGAGACACAAATATTGTGTTAATATTTTAACACAAAATAAATGCAAAACTTCAAATAATTCAAAATAAAATTTGTGTAAAATTAACACACTTTTAATGTAAAAATTAACAAAAAATATGTGAATTTTAGATTTTATCATCCCTACTTATATTATAAAATAGAAAATTAACATTTTTTGCAGTAAATTTTAACAGAAAAATCTTGTCATTAATAAAGCAGAACATATTTATTGTAAAATTAAAAATAGATACACATTGTGTTATTTTTACATTTTTTTCAATTGTTTTAATAATTTAACATTTAAGTTAATTTCAATTAACAAAGTAGTAATATATTAAATTAACACATGAATGTATTAAATATTGAACACCAAAATTTTCACGGGGACCGTTTTTTAAAACAAGAAAACACAAATTTTTCTACTGCGTAGGAGAGACGAGCGATATAATGCAAAAGAGGCGGAGGGAAGTAGAATAACGAAAATGATCAGACTTGATATGCGTTCGCGAAGAGATGAGATGAGCGCGTTATATCCTTCGCGAGATGTGCAGGGCAGAATGCGGGCTGACTTCGGGGTCAAGGACGATTCGGCGGAGCGTGCACCCTGTGCACCTCCTTTCATTCTCTAACGTTGGGGAGATGTGTCCGATGTTGTTTAGAGCATCGACCGACCTTGGTTAGAAGCGTCGCATATTTGATCGTTGTATACATGTAATGTCAGACTATACAAAAGTTTCGACTTTATAATACGTTCTAGTAAACATCTTTTCATCATCGCGTATATTGAATTCATTTTCTTTATTTTGCAAAAGTATCCTACGCTTCAGGTTTTGTCTGCAATTTTTCCAGTCACCCATTGTTCGAAAATTAGATATAATATAAAATGTGGAGTGAATTACAACTTTGGAAGATTAATGATTAATACGAAAGACTATTATTTGCTGAAATAATTCTTGATTTTTAATATTCTTGTTTTGTGTACATATACATATACAGGGTGTCCGGTAACTAACGGACCAACGATTACAAGTGGATTCTTTGGTCAATTTGGGAACGATTTTTCCTCAGCAAAAATGTCGAAAAAGGTCATCATTTTTTACAACTTTTCAATATTTGTCATTATGTATCTTTATAACTAAGCTTAAAATTAAAATTTTATTATAGTAAACTCTACCTGAAATTAACTGAAGAATGTAATTATGTTAGACTTTTAACTCCAAAACGTTTAGTTTTCAAAAAACCCATTTTTTTCAATCGCTTATAACTCGAAAATTATTGACTTCTCAACATTTTTGCTAAGGAAAAATCGTCTCCAAATTGGCCAGAGAATCCGCCCTTAATCATTGGTCCGTTAGTTACCAGACACCCTGTATAAATATATATATTTGCATTGTATTTGCGATTTTAGCATGTTTATATATACATATTGTCCCTTGGAAACTCTCGGCATTATACTCTCGCG